GGGGGGGGTGGTTGTTGCTGTTTTTGGTGTTGTATGGGCCTACCGTAGGTTTATATTCGCTATTAACTTAAGTGGGTGGGGTTTCTTTGGGAGTTTGGTAGGGTTGGTTTTTGTGATTTTTGATATATATGCGCTGTGGATGTTGATGTGCTAGCTAGGTATCTATCTATAGGTTCGGATTGGCTGGCTGGTGTGTGTACGGTGCGAGGGATAAGGGATATGGGAAGGCACTGTTACTTTAAGATTATCTATAGTAATCTTGCAGTATATACCTGGGCCTAGCTAAGTGGGAAAGTGGGAGGGACTGGAAGGATGGTGGAATGGTGGAATGTTCCATTCGTCCGGGTGATGTGGAGAGCTCTGTCTGGGTCTAGATGTTGTGGAGGACCTATATTCCTTTCCCATTGCCGGATTAGGGGCGTGGGGCGATGAGTGGTTGGGGTGTTTACTGTGTTCTTGGGTTTCGTTTTTGCTTATTGCAGGAATTAGGGGAGAGCCGTTGTTATGGGAGCGCCGTTGTTGTTATGGGAGGGGATAGGGATAGGGATGAGTGGTGGGGTGGGAGTGGGGGTGGACGTTGGGTTAAGCGAGGAAGCTTGTACCTTTCGTACTATACCTGCAATTTAGTACAGTACGAAAGGTACAGTAAGGAGGTTCATATATGTAGGTTAGGTGAAAAGTATCCTATATCCTTCGTACAGAGGCCCGCTCCTGAAAGGGAAGCTGGGGGAGAAAAGAAAAGTGAGGGAGGGGTACAGTGTGGAAGGTTCCTTTGCTACAGTACGTCAGGTCAGGTTGGGTTGGTGGTGCTTTTTTTGGTGTTTGTGTTTGGTGGTGTGCATGTGGAGCTCAGTCGGTCGAGATTATCAACGGTAACAGTGTGTGTGGAAAGTGCCTTTTATGAATGAGTCAGTTATTTGGATGGGTGGCTGGGTGGGTTGAAGGTGTCTGGTTCTTGCTCGCTGCTGCTGAACTTTTGTTGGGGCTGGTTGTGCGTGTGGGTGGAGATAAGTATTTAACCTACGTATGAAGATTCTAGGGTCTTGGTGTGTTTTTAAGGGGGGGAGACAAGGAGATATTCTGGTAGGAAGGTTGGTATTCGACTTTTTGGGCGCGCTTTGAATGGGTTGGGTTGAAGGGGTCTTTTGTTGGGTTCTAGAAGGAAGGCTGGTGGAGTCTTGGGAGGAAGTTGAGGGAGGCCTCGCTTAGGACTGTGTATGTAACGTGTGGCTGGGTTGAGCTTGTAGCTTGTATGTATCTTAAGTAGGTGTTATGGATAAGGACCAGGAGTCCTAGAAGAAAGTTGATTGGGAGATGTGATTTGATGTCTATTGTTATCTTATCAAGTGTCCCAAAAAAAGACATCTGCAAACTGCTTACAGATATTTCGAATATATATACACCTTCCAAGTCCGGAGTTCACACTCCCACAGTCCTAGTGGTGCAGGAGTACGGTGTAGAGAATATATTGATTGAATGAATGTATTTGTGCCAGTTGCACCAAAGTGTCCCGAATTAAGGACGTCTGCTACTGTAAGTGCTTATTTCTACTACATATACACCTTCCAAGTTTGAGTCTTACACTCCCACTGGTGTCGGCATTTGGAATTGGGTTAGGGTTAGGGTTTTTGGGGATTTCTTTTGGGGATTTCTCTCCGGGTGGGGAGAGTATGAGGGTGTCGGGAGACGTTATTTGGGTACCCACCGGAAGGTAGAACATACAGCGTTTAGCAAATAGTACTCGATTCCATAGATTCTACCAGGATAATTCCATAATTCCATTCTGTTATATAGAGTATCGTTAGAGGTCTTTATAATAGCACACTTATTTCTATCGAATAGGCTCTAGAATTCCATAGGACTATAGAGTTTTAAAGCACGTGATAAGCTAATAGCTTCTTCCTAATACTGCTATTCACTAACCCTTCGCGCTACGTAAAAGAGAATTTCTATTAGTCTTCGGACGGGGAAATTTTACTCCGGATCATATGATTTTGTTCTATGGAGTACTATAGAACTACCCTATATAGAATGATATATTCTAGAGATTAGTACAAATAGTATAGTATATTCTAGAGGGGGTGGGCTGGTATGGAATAGAGTGAAGTTGCCGAACGCTGAAAACATGGAAGTGGAAATTTTGGAGATTGGCACGAGATGTGGCGGAATTGAGATGTGGGGGTCGTATAATGGGGTCTTTCTTTCTTTGGTGCTGCGAGGGGGACGCCTTTTGAGTTGGTGGTTTGATTCACTCGTGAGGCGGTTAACAGTAAGGATATTACAGTGTTTAGAATCTCCCCTCCTTTCCTCTCCGGAGCCTTAGATAAGAGTAGGAGAACCGTACTACTTAGCTACGAGAAGGAAGGAGTGGTAGGTTACGTATCTAGAGAGGAGTAGAAAGGAGAGGTGGGATTCGGGGAGAGGAGTAGGAAGGAGAGACTAAAATAAGGTTAATAAATAAGGGTAAAAAATAAAGCTATTCCTAGCTTATTTTATATATTCGCTAAAGGTGCTTTACTACGTAGGAGGAGCCTGTTTATACTAAAGAAGGTTCTATTGTTAGGGCTAGGTATATTAAAAGGGTAATAGATATAATGGTAGATTATTTAATAGAATTAACAGATTTAAAGGTAGAATTAATAGTAGAATATTTAATAGATTTAACAAATTTAAAAATAGAATTAAGTAAGATGTCTAAGTAGTAACGCTAAATTACTAAGAAATACTAACCCCCTAGTACACTAATAGGTACCAAACTTTTAGTAGGGGTATAGGCGAGTTTTAGGTTACTTCCAAACTAATACTAAGACCTTATTTCTACTTTTAGACGTATCTCTTAGACCTACTAAAACTATAACACCTAGCCTTAGGAGTACTCCTAACCCTTCCTATCCGGTGCCCTAGCGAGGATAAGGAGTATTAATTAGTCCGGATAGGAACAGGAAGGAGAGCTCGCTAATTTATATAGATTAGAATAAAAAGAAGTATAGATAGGAGTAGCGGGGAGTACTACGAAGGGGAGATTCTAAACACTAGGATATTATATAGTAGGTAGTTTTACTTATAGTATTAGTTTTAGAAGGGGAGTAGGTTTATTAATTAGTATAAATGACTAACATTCGGTAGATAGTACTCGATCCCAAAGATTCCAAATACCTTAAGTAATAAAAGATTAGGATTCAAGAGAAATGAATCTCTATTAATCGCGTATAACTATAGCTAAATACGCCCCGCCGCCGTTGTAATTTCCTCGTTCTCTAGGCTTTGTTTTTCGCTTAATTCCTTTTTAAACCGTGATATAATTAATAGTTATTACGTGGTAGGTCACGAGGGGCGCTCTACTTCCTTTATAGTAGAGTTTTTTTTAGGTATTAGCCGAGAGATATACGCGCTAGTACTATATAAACTTATGCTCCCTCTTATATAATTTAGTAAGCTGTTAACTTAATATAACTACTTCTTTTATAATTACTTTACTCCCTCCTCTATACTCCTAGAACTTATTATAATTCCTGCTATAATCGGCTAACTATAAGGCAACTTATAATAGTCTTAGGATCTAGATAGTTTAAATCTCCTCTTACTCCTCTTATTAATTTCTGATATACCCCTATATAAATCGAACTATCTAACTCGTTCAAAGGGTAATATTGTAGGGTTAGGCCCTTATTAGCACTCTAACCCAGGGTAAAATAGGGGGGTTTCGTTCGTCTGTGTAACTTGGGAGACCTTTTTTTGGGTTATATGTTGTTCTATGGTATGCTAGAACTACTTTAAACGGAATGGTACAGTATATTCTAGAATTTCTTATAGATGGGATGGAATATTCTAAAGGTGGGTATGGTAAAATGGAATTCAAAATACCGAATATTAGAAATGAGAGTAGCTACTAGTGTATTACGGGGTTTTTACGATCAATTTCTTCTAGTTCTAATGTCTTGTAAAGTATTACAAGGTACTGTGTATTTTTGGGATATTGTTATTTTTATGTGCTTATACTTAGGAACTCGCTACCCCGCTAACTCAAGTATGCAAAACGCCACTATAAAATCTGTGAACAGATAAAAAAACATTAACTAGAACCACGACAGTCGTCAACTGTGTACCAACAAGATAAAAGAATAGCTCATCCTACCCAACACTTTGTTAAAGTAAGCAACTTACTACTCGCATACCACTGGAATTTTGAGTCCTGTGCTGGCTATTCAAAATTCCACTTCGTGATTGCACCATATCCTCCGACCTCGTGCTTCAGGTTCTCTCTATTATTGCCCGTTTTTGGGCTGTCAAAGTTCCTTCTGCTAATCTCAATCGAAGAAGTATTTGTACGCTACGTCGCAAGCCGCAT